CATTGGAATAATCTCCCCAGTGAAGTGGTTGACTCCGCCACGTTGGACACTTTCAAGATGCAGCTGGACAGGGTGCTGGGCCATCTTGTCTAGACTGTGCTCTTGCCCAGAAAGGCTGGACCAGATGATCCTTGAAGTCCCTCCCAACCTGGTATTCTATGAATCTATGACCTTAAGACTAGATATCATCAGTTAAAAAGCATACTTGACAAACAGGAAATACTACATAAATAACTGAATTCTTGGGTCTGCTGCAAGTGGTGTGATTCACTACGAGAACTGCTTTGAAATGTTCAATTCAGAGTAATTTGCCGAGTAATAACTTGTCCACAAGAACATACTAACATTCAAACACACCCTACTAAAGCTAGGCTCCTTTGGGCACTGACGGTGCCACAGATCATTGCCTTACTTCACTTCTAACCAACATACATCTAAGTGTCCATCTTAAGATGCTCAACAGTCCAGCAGGGTCTGAAAGACCTATTTTGCCGTTATTTTCCACAGCCTTTTCAGCTCTATGCAGTGGCTTTAAGCCAAAAATCTTTATGCAACATGCAGCCTATATTTTGTTCCTTGTTCAGGAACAACTCATGCTTGCAGTACATGTTCCTCATTTCTCGGGTTTTTTTGGGTTGTTTTTTTGGTTTTTTTTTTGTTTGGGTTTTTTTTTGGTGCAATTTGCCTACGTCAAACACACACAATCTTTGTCTTTTTACAAATCTCAAGGAAACCATTTTGAACCTCTAAGGCCTGTTATTTTGAGGGAATCTGAGCATACTTTCGAAACTCTACAATTTTGCATACATGAGGTCTCAGCAGTTATTAACAACTTTTTCACTAGTAACAACAACCTTTGCAGTTGTATATCCTAGCTTAAGGCCTACAACTGCATTTTAAAAAAAAAAAAAAAAAAAGTCCAGAAGCAGTGGGTGTAGCATAAAGCCTTGTTTTAAAAGGAAAGTTTTCTAAGGCCTCTTATCCAGTTCTGGCCTGTTTATATCGACTTTCTGAAACTTTAAGGATTGGTAAGACACAGCAGAAGCACTTGAGCCTTAGCAACAGGCCGACCAAAGTTGTGTATTGGGATAAAGGGAACCAGCTCACTAGAAACAACACTACTGAACTCCGCTCAGCTCACACGAATGTATAAAGTCACACTGTGAATGTTTAATACACTAGCAAAATATTTATTTTATAATGATAAAACAGAAGTGAAGGATTTCTTTTTGGTGTGCACCAGTAATTGTAGTAAAAGAATAAGGGGATTAATGGACTCTTTATACATTACAATGACAAAAATTCATAAAGGTTAGCATCAAATTCAACTGTTCTCCATTTACAAGCATAAAACTTATCATAATACCCCCCAAACACATATATAAAGAATTATAGTTTTAAAATCTATAAAAAGTAAAAAATATACAGTCAGAAGATCTAACTCTTATTCAAATCTTTAATATAAAATTGTAAACATTTATTTACACAAAGGAAATGTGTATAACAAAATTTTGAGCACCCTTTTCAATTGAATTGTGGTTTTTGGAAGGCAGTGGATGTTGCACAGTGACACTCTCACCTTTCCTACCCAACCAAAACCGCAGTTTATAAATAAAGCCATGGGCGGCCGGCTAGGTACAGTTCAGGGGAGATACATTTTATTGCTCTAAAGCTGGAGCAAATGGGAAGCCCAAGTGCATATATAGACAGCGACATGTTAAAGGGCACAAAGGCAAAGCCCAGCCCTACTCATGCACCTATGGTACATCTAAACTATATTTTCATTTCCATTGAACTGTTTCAACTTTATTACAGTGATACCATATTTCCAACAGTCTGATCCCATTATGCGGACAGGGACCAAAGCCAGAAGTGAGGGCTGGTTTTCCTACCAGGTTAAATGCTGTTTGGATCCTGTTCACATATGAAGACCAATGGGCATTATAAGCCAGTTTGCCCAGAATCACACTTAATTTTACTTCAACAGTACCATAAAAAGGCCCTGTCATCCAATTTAGATGCCTTCCTGAACAAACCCTCTGGTCAAGCAGGGCCATATCTACCTTAGCTTCCAGAAACAGTGGAGGAAAGAGTACATCTGCATTTTCCTGGACATTTAGCTGGATCACCTTTTTGGTAGTAATGCAAACAGCAGATGTTCCTTTCCTCCAATTAAGAACTCACACTGGATGGATTGTATTTTGACTTACTCGGAACAAAGCCCGTGTGCAAAATCTACTGGAAAACATAGCAGATTTCACCACAACCTAAACAGGGATGAAAGAAAAGCTGAATCCTACTACCCTGTTATTTCTCTCAAGTGTTTGTAAGGGGGAGAAAAAACTAGTGACACTGAAGGACAAGGATGTCACTTGAAATTATGAGGTCCCAAGCACCCCCAACAGGAAGGGAAGGCACACTGGTGCTAAGTTAACCCTTAAAAATAAAATTACAGCAAATGCTCCTTCCCCTGCCATTGCTAGTTTATATCTATATTGTTCTAATGACACTTACCTTGGACCAGTTTTTGGTTTAACTTAATAGTAAGCCAAACTCACTAGCTCTTTGCTTAGATTGCCAGTATAAGAAAAGTTAGCATCATTTATTGGCAGCTCAACTACTTATTCTAGAAAACATCAGAGGTGTCAACAACCAAAGTCACTAACACCTTCGTCTTCCCATCCAAAGACAATCTTTATGTTATCTTTTCACAAGCTCTATGAGGGGATTAAGTCTGCTTCAGCGAAGTTTTATCTACTATTCAACAGTGGGATCCACTGATCAACGCACATCTTTCACCAACAGTTCAACATTATACAATATCAAATCTGTTCAACAGGGTGTAATTCATCCACACTAGGTAAGTGTGCTGGACAAACCATGTTCCACGCATATTTGGAAAGGGTTAAAGTATTAGTGTTAAAAAGCAGTTTTTAAAAGTGCAAATTGTCTCATAAAGGAGCTGCAGATACAGTAAAATATTTTCCTTCTTTGAAATCAATTATCCTTCACTTCCCTTCACCCACTCTGGAAAAAAAACCCTCGTATACATCTCTGCAGTGCAGGAAACTCCTGAAGAAGCCAGCTGGTGTTGAAGGAAATTGCTTTTAAATCACAATGCTGGGTTTGCTGAGAAAGTTTAAAGTTTTCCAAAAAAGTGGATTTAAAAGGGAAGAGGTATTTGTGCATTTAACAAAAGCTTTCAACTTTATTTTCATATTAAAATGAAGGTTAAGGCAAGGTGGTTTGTTGGTGGATACGGGATTTTTTTTGGTAGAAAGTAAGGACTTTGGAACACTGACTGTTCCCCTTGTGGTTTTTGTCCTTTCTGGGACTGACCCAAACATATGGATAAGAGGTCTCCTTGGGCTGAGCTGAAAAACCAGCATCTGCTTCAAGGGGTATTACAGAAGTAAATCCACCAGTCTATAGAAAGATTATCAAACTCATAACCCAGTATCAAAAAAAAAAAAAAAGTATTTAAAGGGGGGAGACTTCCATATTGGAGCGACCCTGATACAAGTGTTCTCCCAGGCTGCCTGTGCTATTACTGCTAATAAGGACTTTTCACCTCTCAGCCAATTTCTTTTTTACTCATTTTTATCCTGAAGTGACAAAGTCTTGTGCTCACTAGATCACTGCTAACTTTGGGGAATGAACTGATCTCAAAAGTTAGTTTTACTTTTTACAATAAAGAAAACTAGATGAGCTGTCACGAAGCAAAGCCTTCATTTAAATACAACTACCTTTGGAAATAAGTTATGAAGAAATAGGTGCAAAGTAAATGGCTTTACAATTCATGTTAAACCTACTATACTTTAAAAGTTCTCCCATAAGAAATTCCCCCTTTAAACACAGCAAGGTATAAGCCAAGAGCTGTGCCTCTCTACAACAGAGTGCAAACTGCAGCTTTAAAGACTACAATCTATTAAGACAACTACCTAGACTAACTGGCCAAGTTTTAATACTTTCATCTATCACCAGCATCTAGAAATATTTACGGTGAAATATCACTTGCTTATTGAGAGTACAGGCACATGCTTCAGCGATGGGGAAAAGAAACAATTCAAAACGTTCTGCAAGCGTATTCAGGTGCATACAGCCTCTTCTCAATTAAAGAGTCAGAAGTTTGATGGACAGTACAATAATAGCCTGTCAAGCTATGAACAAATAATGATTGCAATTAATAGCTGCAGAAGACTAAGCCCTAAACACAATCTGTGCAACTATTTGCTTTCTTTCTGCACTATTTCTGTGGAATTTTGTTTTATTTTTAAATAATTTAAAAAATTAATTTTAGAACACTGCAAGTGAAGTTTCTGAAAGGCTGGCTAGGATGCGCACAATTATTTTTTTTTTGACCTGTTCAAGTGCGCGACTCCTTAGAGACACCAAGACAAAGCGCACTGTTCCTGCAGACCTGCTTGGTGCACCATTACCGTGGATCAACACTCATTGAGAAGCAGCTCCAGTCCCTTTCCCAACCGTTTACCTCTACTGCCTGCAAGTCTCCTCAATGCCACAGGTTTTTTGGTCCAAGTGTTGTTTATATTTCATGAAATAATTAAAAAAGTAGAAACCCCACCCCCCGCCCCATTTTAATGAGTTCCTAACAACTCATCCAAATCATTCATCCACTCCTCTGAAGTCCTGTTTTTCAGCAAAGAGTCTATCAGATCTGTGTCACCAGTTAAGTTCTGAAGTCCATTATTGCCCGACTGGCTGCTGTAGGCAAAAGGCAGCTCTTGACTGGTTGTCCTCACAGGGTACCCTTGACTACAGTGCAGATTACCTCTGTTGGGCATTTGCTGATTTGGATTCTGGTTGAAAGCATTCAGATCCGGAACAGTCTGGTTCATGCCAGGCAAGACTTGCTGTGAGGGTACCTGCTGTTGTGTAGGTAGGTTTGTCCGCTGCTGCGCACCTAAAGATGATGACAACATCTGCCCAGAGACTGCAGCATTCATAGAGGTCATTGGTCTGCTGGTGCTTAGGCTTACCTGAGGCATTCCTTGGGCAAACTGTTGATTGGCCATTTTTAGATGAGTTTGCTGCATGTGGAAAGAGGAGCTGGCAGTAAATGGTCCTAAGCCACTGTTTGCTTGTGTCTGGTTGTTAATATTAGGGATACCTTGGTGTTGCCAAGATGGATTTTGAGCCCCCATAGCAGCTGGTACTCTTGCCATCTGTGGCTTCGATAAGGTTGCATTCAGTGCACCTTTATTGTGCTGCTGAGAAATACTTGAGTTTGCCAAGGTATTCTGCCCATACCCAGCAGGAACAGCAGCGCCCTGGCCCAAGCTGCCTTGTCTCTGCATCGGTGGCTGTCCATTGGCACTTTGTGTTGCATGCTGGGGAACCATTTGTGTCATACTAGACGCCAAGTTGTATAATCCCCCTCGCTGAATGTTTTGCATATTGGTATACTGAGTCACCCCCCGATCCTGCTGACTGGAGCCCGACTGCAGTGGAGGAACAGAACTGTGTCCAGGTGCCATCTGAATCATGTTCTGGGTCTGAGGAAACATCCGTGGACTACTGGAGCTGGACTGTCCTAAATTACTCACCCCGGGCATGGCTGAAGATGACCCTGAAACACACAGAAATACTTTGTACATTAAATGCTCGGTTCAACCAAAGCCAAACTAGGCTTGTAGACAGTATAATCCAGAATGGAGGTGCAGCTGCATTTGTATAAACCAATCTATGCAACCAACACACAGCAGTACTTTAATTAAAGAGTGTCAACTGTTGCTCCAGTTAGCACCTCCACCTTGATCTCAAACGCAGGTATGCCAATGTCTTAAAAAAGTTTGAATACCACTTCTAAGAACTCAGCATCATCAACTTAAAAAAAAAAAATTAAACTTTAAAGGCAGGACTCTGATATTTCTTTGTGAACAAAGGTATACACACATACTTTGAAGTGCATGCACAATTTGCTAGGCTGTTAAAAAATACCACTTACTGCACACACACATTGTCAGTTACTCCGTGCATACATTGTATATCTCTTATCATACAACCGTAGGGTTTCCAGTCCTGTGTTTTCCCAATTCCAGAAATTTCTTCTATTTTACGTAACTTTCAGAAGTTTTTGGTCAAGTATCTTTTGGACTTCCACAATGAAATATTTGCTATGTTAATATGCAATGCTAATAACCAGCAAGATTTGCAAAAATAAGTCTTCTCAGCAAACCAAAAAAAGTCCCTTGTTCTTGTAAATTCTGGTGAAAAAAGTTTCTTCCTGTAGAAGAAACAGCCCCCTGCTTAAAGCAAAAAAAGATTAGAAAAGCACTGTGAAGTGTAATACATATAATTCCCCCTCCGTTTCTTACAGTCGACCAAGGGAAACCTACCTACACTAGTACTTTCTCTACTTTCAAACCAAAAAGCTACAGATTTCTTTCATATGTTAAGACAGCTGAGGAATATTGACTCTCCATTACTATTAATTCAATTTGATTCAAATAGCTTCAAATTATATTGAATTAATTATCAACAAACCACACCATAAACCCACCAATTTTACGGGGGGCGAGGGGGTGGATGGGTGTGGGAAGAGTCTTACTGGAACACTACAGTGAAGAGGTAGTACACATACCAGGATTTAAGAAGCAAAAAAGTTACAATCGAAACTAATAGTTTTAATAATACTGTTCATTAGAGCAAAACATACTCCAACAGGTGCACTACTGTATTTCTGTATAAAACTGGCAGGAGAAAAAAAAATGTTTCAGTGCAATATTTGAAGGATGCTGCTGATCACCGTGTTAACACACAATCCTTTTGTATCAATATGAAGTTTTTTCAGTCGAGTAACAAAACCCAGTCATAGCTCTACTAGACACTGCATAGTCACAAAGACTGTCAGAATGAGAGTATTGCATTTCTATTTGCATCTCTTCCCTTCAGTATTTATTTCTGAGGGAACATTGAGTAAGGAAATAAAACAAAGGGAATAAGCACTTTTTTGTACTCTAGGTTTATGAAAAAAAGAGAAGTGGCTTCTTGATGCCCTGCTAAGTAAGGATTTTTCAGGTAAGGAGATGAATTTTTACTGTTCTCTAGTTATGCCACATTTGTGAAGCTATTCCAGGTTAAAGGTAACAACGTCTTCTATTTATCAGCATTAACGCACTGAAGACATACCACGCTGCTTCTCCTACAGAAAAAACCACGTAGGACACTAAAATGTAATGAAGAGAATTCAAATTGCATTCCTTTCTGAAGGTAGCAGAGATAAGAATACTAGAGAATTTTAAACTCGTCCTAGTAGATGAGAGAAATAATACATCACTTATTTTTCTTTAACAAAGACCTGCAATAGATCTAAGCAGTAGTGATGTTAGGCTTCAGACAAAAACCTGAATCCTAGTATGTGAAAGTTAAGGAGAATTTACAATCTGTAAAGGGAAGCGGTAGTAAAAAAGTACTTGAGAACCATAAGGTACTTAAGAATTTTACCCATTTCCAAAGGAATACTAAGAATCAGAAGCTTAAGTTGTCTGAGATATCTGGGACAGGGGAAGCTGTTAATTTGCAACTGAATCAGAATACAGGCCTAAAGTTTTTAAAAGCACAGTGATGTGGAAAGATGTTGTGATGAACTAATTAAAAGCTATCCAATCCAGGAAATTTAAACACACTTCCTTTTTTTTTTCCCTGGTATTTCTTCTGCCATTATTTCAATTGCCATGTTTGCTTACCTGTGAACTGTCCAACCTGTTGCTGGTACAGATTCTGCGATTGATCCTGGTATTGCGGAGGTGGTCGAGTCAAATGCCGCTGTAGCTGTTGCTCTTGCTGCTGCCGCTGTTTCTCCTAGAAAAGGTCCAATGCAAGACAATTAGAAAACAAGTCAAGCTTTTTCCAAGGGTGAGTATTTTGGATAAATACAAGCTATCTGCATGCTTTTATGCGGAGCTGGTAATTACAGGGGCTTCTGCAGTTTTAAAGTCACTTCAGACCTTTGTTCTCAAGGTTCAAACACAGTCAATTTAATCTGACAAGTGACAAGAGTAAGAACTTAAGAGACAACAGCACATGTCACAGAGTGAAGCCTTTAAAACACTAAAAATCTGAGCTGTTAAGTCTTTTAGTCAGTAACATAATCAACAGGCATTTTTAGCAATACTCTAAAGACACTAACAGACACAAAAAGAGCTAAAGTGAGCGTGTATAAAAAAAATCCATACACACTTTTTTGCTCCTTACCCCCAGATCAATTTATTTTAGACCTCTCTTCAGAAATTAAAGTCATAAATACCAACGTTACACAGAAAAGAAAGAATTGAACATGCGAATATTTTCTAGCCCTTGTTTTCAAAAATTAAAAAAAAACTATACACAAACCCTTACATACCACAGGTTTTCCTAGAAGATTATGGAAAACTGCAGAACTAAGTTTATAACAGAAACTATACAAGTTTTTTTACCACTGTTCAAAAACATTTTCTTAACAGAGCACCAATCAATTGAAACAAACCCTACTAATGATTCAAAATAACCTTGCCTCTTTAAAAGCACTTTCAACCCATACCTACTTTAGGATAAAAACATTTGGAAAATAAGATAACCAAATTTCCTATTAGGAAACTTTTGGGGAAAATCAAATTTAAAGCCTTGAGGGGACTGTTGAGAACATATGTACAATGCATTAACAGCACACTCAGAGATCCTGACAGCGTAAACAGCCAACGGGCTGCTTTTACAGTACGAAACGTAAAGGCATAGCATTTCTGACTCTTCTTCCACATGTATCTTCAACCGGACTGAAATTGTGAGGTAACTAAGTAGTGATACAATGCACACCTACCTACTTACCTAAAGGGCACAGAAGGGGACAGAAATTCCCTTCCAAGAATACTGAGGTAGAGACAAGCAGTAAGCCTTTAAGGAAGGGACTAGTGCAGCGTAACAAATAGGCATACATATTACTACCGTCCTTTTGAAATGCCTACAGCTAAGAAGCTGTTGAGACACGAAGAGGAATGAAGAGGGCAGGCTGCTTGACAGAAAGGACCTGCTACTTGCAGGACCAGTCAAACCTGAAAGAGGCTGACCACAGAAGCCAAGGAGAGATGCCACAGTTCTGAGAGAAACCAAGAGCTGCAGAACCTGGCGGGGCAGGGGGTAGGAAAAAAAAAAAATGCAGAATACCAAATGCAAAAAACCCCAAAGCTTTAGAGTGGTAGGGAATGGCACTGAAGCTACTTGAAACTGTAATTCTCCTGCAAAATAGAGATCAACTGATTCAGAAATCCTTCTGTAAAGCTACAGAAATCCTTCTGTAAAGCTACATCCATTATCATGTGTATCCAAAGAAATAAATACCAAATTAGAATGCTAACAAGATCTAGCTTGACTGGGCAGCACAAGGCCAAGAAGTGCAGCAAATGCAATACCCAAGCCTGTTCAGTTCCAAGGCAAAGCTACTCCTTACTGGGGATCAGAGTCCAGGTTATCACTATACAGAGATGCAAGATGTACATTGTTTGAGATACGCTATTTATCACCCTGTTAATATACCACCCCACTGTTCAGAGAGGTCTGATGTGTGTTAGGTCCATTACGTAGCTAAGGAAACCTACTGAGCCACAGCTCTAAGAGCTCTACATAATCACCATGCACCAGTGGTGCAAAAGTACAAGCAGGGTGCCAGCACCCCATATTTCCTTTCTCCCCACCTTCTTTCAAAGAGTACCTGTTTGTTAACATTTTGGGAGAGTAACGAGTAATTTTTGCCATTTGGTATTAAATAACAAAGTGTCAAAACCTGGATAATTTACTAAAAAGTACTGGATTTATTTATGTAAGTTTATAGATCACAGAAATCATACAGGAAAACATTATTTTACTGAAGATTTGGCCATTCTTTCTCTTCAGTCTTTGATAGTGTATTTATCAACATAAGCAATATTTCCACCACACTATTCCCTTAGCATAAATCGTATTTTTACCCAAATTTCTTTACCAATGTTCATACAATTGTCTTTAAAACATTGCCAAGCACATTCTCTTGTTTTTACCCACATCAGGTCAAGAACTGAAGAGGCTTTTCTGTCACCTTAATCTAGTCCTCAATTTTAACACAAGTCTCTAAGCAATCAAAAATGCCATTACCTAGGACTTGGCACAGCCATAGCTCCACAATACTGCAGATTCTACTACTCTCTTCCCCTGAATATGCGCTCCCCAACCAAGATTGCACGTGTTTTCCATTCAGAGGAGACTGTATCATTTTCTCCTCTCTTAAAGCTTCTGATGGACAGTTGCTGCAATACAAGTTAAGGTGTTCACACACACACAGAACGATTACCTGACCTTCCCTCACCATGCCAATTTTCCAAACTATTACTACAGTGAAAATCCTATCTACCAGGATAACTCCCAACTTTAAAGTTGAGAACATTGAGATCTATGACCTTTTAACAGTGCTGAAAATTAAGAAAATTACACATTCCCAACTGTTATTAGTTGAAGGACTCCAGAGCATTTAATTTTTAATTTTTTTTTTTTTTTTAAATTCTCAGGGATAAATGCAGTTCACTTTTTTTATTTCATTAAGCCACTGGTTCTTTTTTTTTTTCCTCCCATTATCCTCAAAGACAACGCTCCTCCCTCCCCCTCCCCCCTGTTATCCTCAAAGACAAAACTCTTCAGCTGTACAGATCACTACATTTTTTTCCAGATCTGAATACCAGGTTCTCCCTGGGTTTCACAAACTTTCTTTGAAATTCATCTTCCCCTTCCTCCATACCAGATACTAATAGTTTCTCTGTACATGCAGTGCCAGTGCCTGGAACATGCCTGCATGGACTTTTAAAAATGCATAAAAGCTTATTCCCAGCTGAAAGACTTGCAAAAGTTTTAAAGCTTGCAAAGGTTCACACAATGAGCCTGCTCCCTGAGAGAGGCTAAAGCAGCTTTCTGCTGTCTGACGGAGTTAAATTTTTTTTGGCAGGATGAGATGCAAGTTGGATGCAGACATCTAATTGTTTTCTCCAAATAAACAAGTGAAAGATGTTTTAAATTTTTAAATATCATCTGCTGTGGATCTCACAGGGAAGAAAGGCATAGGCACAATGAGCTTACAGAGTCCCCTGCTCATCGCTTCCATTTTTAAAGCTCTACAGAATACATCAACAGTATCACAACTTTGTATTTTATTTTTGCTCTGATTTAATTTGCCTTTCTTCTTTCACAAAGAATTACACCACCGCTGATATGATATCTTCTCTCCACATAGTTCGTTTTCACACTACTCAATGCTACCCATTTTATGCTCCTCATTCATCACAGTGCCTTGTAACAACAGAAAAAATAAGCCTTGCCAATCAAGTGCTATCAATGTGTTTGGGTTACTTTTCTAGAAACATACAACAGCAATTATACTTATGATACCAAAGCGCCTTGCAGTTTACATTCCTTATTTTGTAATGTGATAACTATTCAACAAGATCTCAAATGCTGTTTCAATCCAAAGCAAAGCAGCGCAAAAAAAGAAAGACTGGTGGCCCCTCTCACCTGCTCAGCCAAAAGATGTTGCTGTCTCTGCTCCATTAGGAACTGCTGCTTCTGTTGCTCCAAGAGCAAGTGCTTTTGTTGCTGCTCTCTCTGCTTCTGCTGGTCCATCAGAATTTGGTGTTGCTTCATCACTGCTGCTTGCTGCTGATTGCTGAGATAAGGTGAGTTGCTGTGGTTACCTGCCATGGAAACGTTGGGGGCCTGGGCACCCATGCCAGGGCCCGGGACAGAAACGGGAACACGAGGAACGTTAGGAGAAGGGTTTTGATCCTGTAGAATACAGAAGAAGTGCCATGAGTTACAGAAAGAGGTTAGCTCATCAGAACTTAGAAACTGTATGTAGTTACACAGATGAGGAAAGGCAACTTCATGGTGACGACCACAATTTGAGTTAATTTTAATCATTTTACAGGATAAGGAAGAGACTTTATAAACAATGTCTACACGGGGAAGGGAATCGCAACACATCTCAAAAAACAAGAAATTGTCAATTATTGCTTATTTGGACATTTACACTACTTAATAAAAATTAGGTCGGTTCCTTGTATTTTGCCATCTTTATGCGATAGCTTCTTCACTTGTGAACCTTCTAACAGAAATGGCAAAGTGTGATACAGTTTCCAGTTCAGCTAATTAAAGACAGCCAAAACCCCATTTATAAAGTGCCAGACACGGAAGTGGCAGTTCGGAGTTAAGGTCAGAAGCTCCACAGCTTTCAGGAACAGAGGCTTTAACTTCAGTCTCAAAGTACCAGCTCAAACAGGTGAGTATAGCCCCGTGTGCTTCTGCTCAGCCAGAGGAATGGGCACCAGTTACAAACAGCAATTAAAACACATCAACTTCAGTTAACTCTGGTAGCAGCTTTTCAAGCTACATTTTGAATTTTCATTATACAGAACATTTATTTAAATCCTGCCTCTTCTATCAATATTTAATTCAGCAAGTGTTTATGCCTCCCCTCCTAAAGTTTCTTTTTTTACTACCAGAATACTTACTATTTGCAGGTAAAGGGGAAGAAGGCTATCACTGATCAAAATGAGTCTTAATGTATTTTTCCAGCAATCCAGCCATCACCATGTTCCACAAGGAAAAACACTACTACAGATAAGCCTGTTACTACTAGCTTTTCATAAGGCTGCTTTTTTTGGAGATTGGAACTTGGGATAAGCAAAAATAACACAGAATATTATCATTCAAGATCTGATACTGTCCTCTTTGTACCAGCAAATCCACTTGAAATTTGACAATTTTCATCATTTTTAAGCACAGTTCAGCCTCCGCTCTAATTACACAAACACACACTACTTTCAAGTTCAGAATTCAGTTAATGGGTTCAGCTGTTGGTTCTCACTCTCTGGAGTTTCATAAGAAATAATGAGCCAAATATAGGCAATACTGTGCTAAGTTGTTCTATATGCAAGCTTTCGAGAAACTCTCCACAAGAGTTTATCAGTATTTCTGTTAATTCAGTGCAACTGTGCCAGCGTAGCTGCAAGGGCACCGTCATGTTTTTCAGTGGGGGGGGGAGATGCGACATACACAATTTCCCCTTCTTCCACCAAAATGTCACTAGATTGTTACTTCTGCTAGCTTTTAAAGAGATTAATTTTTTTTTTTTGCCTTATGAAGCACACATTGAACTCAGATTTTATTTTTTTTTTTGTGTATCAGTGTGGTCTTTATCACAGACCAATCAGATTTTTATCTATTGAGTTTTTTGTTTTGTTTTGGGAACATACCACTAGAGTTGGATCTCCAACAGCTTTTGCTAGAGGAGCTTTAATCCTTATAACAAAGACCTCTTTTCTCAACAAACCTAGTATGTGCACTGCAGGCACATGTTACAGAAGCCCAACGAGTCCATACCTCCATCCACTACATAAGTTTTCACCTGCAGCATACCTGTAGTATCACTCATATATAAGGCAAAGAAGCAACACGTGGAATTTTACTTTACAGGAAAACCTGAAGTGTATTGCTTCAAGCAAACCAGTATTATCTACAAGTCATTCTTAAAGGTATATTTCTCTCCTATCCCATACTTCCCCAAACCCCAGAGACTTAACCAATAACAAATTCTTAGATTTGAAAAGCCCCAAGGAACACCCCAAAGAAATCAGGAATGCAGCCCTCACTTCCATCTCTCTTCAAAAAAGCAGCAACCAAAGGCATGTCTTTTTATAGTAAGCCAACTCTGACACAAGTAGGGACTAAAAAGAAGGTAAAGAAACCAAAGCTTCTTTGAGAACACTGTTTAACACTACAGTTTTACATGAGTTATTTTAGGCAAAAGTTTACAAAGCATCTATTTATCTTTGTAAGTAGAAGTTTCTATGAAGCGTGACAATTTCTTGCCCACAAAGTATATTAAGCTGGAAATCACACATTACCATGTGACCTAGAACCAAGTGTTAAAAACTGTTCCCAGTGCAAAACAGAGTTCTTGATTCTTGTCTCAGTTTATTGCATATTATAATTTTCTTATTTAAGATCATGCAGCAACTGTTTTGAAGCAGTACCAAGTAATCTGTACTCTAGCCTTACCTATCCAACACCCTCTTGCAAAACCTTAAATCTGCTACTAAACAAAGGTAACAAAAAATCAGAACATTCACCTGACTGTGCGGTAGTCGGTAGGCAATGTTTCCAGACTTGGGTTTCAACAGGATCATCCCATTTTGGTCATCGCTCACGTGAGACAGCGGTGGCTGCTGGCGCTGTTGTATGTATGCCAACATGGGAGTCTTGTTCTGAGCAGGTATGGTAACCCCCTGTTCACATTCTGCTTTGTAATGTGAAAGAGGTTTGGTGTTCCCATAGTCCAGCATAGCGCCTTGACTATTCACAGGGTTCTGGTTCAAGCTGTTTTGCTGATGACCTAAAATGTTCACATGGTAACTGCCTCCAGCTCTTGGTGAGCTTTTATTTCCCATATTAGGCATCATGAGTTTCTGATTGTTGAAGTCTGACTGGTAAACTGATGGGCTGGTGGGATTTTCCATGGTATATGGGACAGCCAGTGGACTATGAGAAGGCCCAGACTGTTGCCACGTAGACAGCTGATTTGTCTGGTGGACTTGGGAAGCTTGCTGCTGGTTCTGCAACATCTGGTCTCTCTTCTGCTTGGCAGCAATCTGCTGAAGTTGATGAGCAGAAGACATCTCTTTGGCACTTCCTGCGCCCTTCCCAGGTAACAAGACATTGGGGAGAGGCCTCTGGACATTCTGAGAGTGGTTTGATGCCTGCATGACAGGCTGATTAGGATTTTCAGTCATTGACTGACTGGAAGACTGAAAAATCGCCTGAGAACTACCAACCGCTGGAGAAGCAGCACTTACAGGTACAGAAGCAGCACCAATAAATGCTGGACCTGATGAAGTGGATCTCACCTGGGGAGATCCCATCTGTTCCTGTTCAAAGGGTGCTGGGGAAAACTCAGTCTTTATGTTAATATCTTGTGGCAATGGAGTCTGTGCAGCTGAATTTGAAGAATCTGCATCTTTTTTCTCTTCAAAGTCTTCATTAAAGAGATCCTTCATGTCTTCATCGGGCACTGATCTATTAAGCTCCTCAATAAGTTCCTTCCATTCTTGCTCATTAAGATTAAGATCAGGCATCAAGTTATTCTGAGATATAGAACCCCCTGTTCCAGCAATCATACATGGAAGATCATCCACAGGCTCCTGCTTCAGTTCTTTGTTCAAACTCAGAGGAAATGAGTCATCAGCATCACCACCTCCATTCATTTGCAGGCTGGAATCTGGAAGACACTTCTTGCTGATGCCATCTAGCCCCATCGGATGTTTTCCATTGAGTTGCAAGGTATCTCCGCTGCCAGATTTCTTGTCAAGATGATGGAGTGGAGACACAGGGGGCATTCCATTGGAAGAACCACTCACTCCACCCAGACCATCATCACGACGGAGTTTCTTGGACACAGAAAATACATCACCATAGCCATTCTGCTGGTCTCCATTCTGAGGGGAAGCAGCACTATCAAGCTTTCTTTTCACAGTCTCATGGAGCTGCTGAAGAAAAGGAAGGTTTTAGTTATTTAGTTTTATGTTTCATGGATTAGGATTTTTGTTTCTTGCTAGAACATTGTCTAGCTCTGAATATAACATTTTAGGAAAAAAAAAAAGGTTAAAAAAGTGTTACATCTTTGCTTTGATAAGATTTGTTTTACCAGTCATCACATGAGATTACTTCCCTCACTGTAATCTCTTAGGGTACACTTTCAAAAATATGTACTACATCAACCACAGAACCCTCCTTCAAACAAAACCAAAAGCTGTACTTTGCAACAACAAAAAGTTGAGAAATGGCCATGAACTGCAATAATTATGATTTTCCTATTCAAAATGAAAAAAAAATAAAAACTGAAGCGTGTTAAGATTCAAATTTTAAATGAGAATAAACCCCTGTATTTCATTTGGCCCACGTACACACTGTATAATTGTTCTCTAAGACTGCTTTATGAAGCAGTCTCACATTTAAATATTTAAAGAGAACCATTTTGCTTGTGATTATAGTTTCTGGCGAAGAATTACGTATATAAATTTTGTGCACAATCATTTCTTGCACTAAAGCAAAACCAGTCTGTCACTAAGCGACCAGTGTTTCACACTTCTGTAAAATGCAATTCAGAGTTCAGTCAATTCTACCACAGCAGAGTAAGTTTATTCCTTCCCTCTTTTCTCCTGAAGTATTTGCCACCTGCTCCTCCCTGCACGATGACCACCAGAGCCCCAACCAGCACAACAGTTGGCTTCTCCTAGCTAGTGAACACACACATTCTTTTTCTTGTAGTGCCACCTAGAAGCAACCAGAGGATACAGCAACAGTTTTACAACCAGAGCTTAAGAGCCGTTGTCCAGCTTATCTTTCCTGGCAGCATTCTTTCAAATATAAAGTTCTTTTTCAACTGACCTCAAAAATATCTGAAAACAGGATTCATGCACTGATCAAAGATGACTATAAACTTTTCCTTCCCTCAGGGGCATTCTGTAAAAAAAGTTGTGCTTTGCTTGTGCTGGAATGCTACAGCAACACAGACAAACCTGTAGAGCAGAGATGCTGCTCGAATAAGAGCAGGGCAGTTACAGAGGGCAAGCTCCCATCAGCTGCCCTGACCTGTATGAGACACTTTTGTACACTCAGCAGGACACACGAGGAGAAACCCCACAGAAAGCCACCATGTCTGAAGCGTGGTTCACTGAACAACAGTTCTCTCAGATGGCACAAAAGCAGTTCATTAAACCAACCTCAAGATAAGTATGCTTATTTTAATATTACTTGCAGTCTCCACAATGCAGTCCACTAACCCTTGAGGAAAACTCTCTTGTCCAAGAACAAACAGGGGGAACCTCAAGATCTCACCACTCAGGCAAGAAGTTGTATGTAGGGCCAGCATAAATTATCAGAAGAATTTTACAGCACTTGCCCGGGCAACAGCATTCTTTGATTTAAGGACAGGAAGACTGGTTCACAGGTACTTGTTGTCATTTTTTTTTTTTTAAATACTGTACAGTGAGCTGATCTTCAGAAAAAACACTATCTGTTTAATGCTTGCATAGGTAGCAGCAAAATCTTATTTGTATCTGAGGGATAGACTGTAGCTTCCCAGGAGACTATTAGCTTCTAGGTTGTTCGTGGAAATAGCAGCAGAGCAGTGAGATCAGCAGAAGGCCTAGTCAGACAAGGCAAGGTACGCATTTGGAAAGGAGGCTGGAACACAAATTCTCTTAATCTGAACATTAGGTCTACAGCTTGGAGCGGCAGATCTAGAGTGAATTTTTCAAATACCGACTTGAAGGAATAATGGAAATTTACTTTTTTGTAAAAAGGCAAAACAACAGAAAGCAAGGAAGCCTCAACTCAATCGCAACATATGAGTTTCAGCAAGCTTCCCGTTGCTTACTTAATACTCCAACTAGGAAAACCGAAGCTCAAGGCGGAAGAGTAACTTGCCCGAGGTCGTAACATGAGTCAATCACTCAAAGTTTGGGAATGGATCCTCCTTGGTTCTAAATGATTAGAGGGAAAACACACTCCCTGAAAACTGACATACAAGTAATAACTTAGTTTCGTACACAAAACAGAATATATGCCCATTGGGGTCACTGCTGTAATTATAATTCACATAGACAACTCAAGGCAACTAGGATTTTGTAGCATTATAGCTATAATTGCACAAAGCTCTTCACAGGCTGTAAAACCCACCTAGGATGCTGGACAAACATTCCAGAAGTTAATCTGTCCCAAGGTCTTTGCCACTGTACTACAGCATTCGCAATATATGCAGCTAACTAGCCTAAATTCAGATCATCCATGCTTATAAGCCACAGTTACTGTAGTCTTGAAGAAGACACAGACCCCTAATAACCATCGCAGGCTCTTTCCATCAACGAAAACGCGTAGGAGCTTTCATATCAGTTTTAACAGTTATACAGTTATAACGCTCAGATATCTGATTCTTGGTGACATCTTGACTTTAGTTGCTCTAGACAAAGACCTCCTTTCACCTAAAACTACATTCCTTTGTCAAAAAAGGAGATTAAAGAAAAAATAACTTTAATAAATTCACAAATTAAGTAAAATTTGGGGGTGACTGCTTCCATCATTGCTTCACCTCAGCCAAACATAAGATTGATTACTCGAAAGATACCCTACCTGTACATGACAGCCAATAGACATGTAGGAAAGAAGAAAATCTGCTTATCTTCTCCCCATATCAGAAAAGATTGAGCTCAGTTTGTAACCAGGACACTTACCTTCTGAGCTTTAGAAGCTATTTACCAACTGCATTTGCATCCTACTTCACTTTTCACACTAAACAGAGCCAAAAGTATACTCTGATATTGCAGCGTAAGTCTACACTGTGACTGTTGTCTATCTATAATACACCCAGCTATACAGCTTAAAGCTAACCTAGTAACAGTGTTCCACTTTCCACCTCCTTCCCTCTTTCAAGAAAAGACAGTGCCATAAAAATTTCTGGAAGCCAAAAGTTACAGGTTACTTTCTCCTCTGCCATTGGAAATATACCCTGATACCTTCTCTTTACTCATGTTTAATTTTGAGTAACAGAACCTGAAATTCCCACACCAAATACATTCGTATAACTACTCTGCAAATAATGCAACTTCCTCTTGTGAAATTCCTTTCTTATATGCATTTCTTACATACTATCTCAGCTCTTCATTTCATAACAGAAAAAGAAATATTAAATTCAGTTCTTCCCCTATTTGTCTGTGTCTACCCAAATAATCTGGTTTTGGGGGAGAAAACAAGGAGCATGCAAGATACAAGTCAGACTGCAAGCTATCTACATCTCAAGCTGCTCCAACAGAGTTCTTAAGGCAAGAAAAACCTGTTCTCTTCTGCTAAAATTAAAAAAAAAACAAACCCAACAAACCAAAACTGACAAAGTAAAGCATAGCTTGCTACTAAGAAAATCCCTTTACCTTTAATTTTATTGTCCACTATCATTCTGTAAGGCACAGTGGCCCTCTGATATGCTGTCCATGTTCTCCTAGCAGAATCAATCAGTTTTATTTATAACACAGGAGAGAAGTCAATCCCTTCCATTGTCACAAGATCAGATGCCGAAATGTATTCCCATTTTCTCAACTCCTCAACTTCCCCCAAAAAAATGAACCTCCAAGATCTCTGCTATTTAGCTTTGCCTAAAAGTATTACCCCAAAGGATTTATCCAAAGTACTTAAGCCAATACAGGAACAGTGCAAAGAAAGGGACGTAAGCAGGCCTCAGTCCTTTGGCCCAAGACAGGACATACAGTTTCTCAAAGAGCCACTGAAGAGCCATAGGCTACACCTCCTCCACATCACATCATCAGAGCTGCATTTTATTCATGTGAGCAAAGTAGACAGTCTTCACCATGGTAATGAACACACTTAACTTGGCAGGAGCACACACACAAATCAGGCCATAACTATAGATTCCTCACGTGAGGAACACAAACTGATAAAACCCAGGTGTCATCCATCACAACGAAGGGGGTGTCCAAACCAAGCAGCCTCTGATCATATAATTTACAGTACACACAGGCTATACTTGACTAGGACACAGGACTATGATGCTGGAGATGGGTGTATGCCCAGCCAAACAACACCGCTTCTATCAGAAAACAGACAGCACACAATTAATTTTTATAAGCTATATTCAGTCTCTGTCTTAAACCCACCCGTTTTACCACAGTGATGCTCAGCCGTATTGCGTTTTTAATTCAGGGGCAAGTTGGCAGACTTCATAAAAGCTGTCCACAAACTCTGACTGAAGCCCAGCAAGAAGAAATTGGAAAAGCTTTAAAACTTAGCACTGTCAGAGTTCAAACCTCCAGAGTCCAGTGCAGTGCTCTCTTAACTGCCTTGGTGGGAAAGGGGCATGAATCACTGATCAAAACAGTGGCACAAAGTTCTTCTGGGGTTTTGTTGTCAGTTTGTTTGTTTAATTTTAAAAAGAGAAGATTATTCCAGGAATCAAAACATCAGTGTGAAACACTCAATACCTGAAACTAGTTTTAGATAAGAATCTGAAACCAATGACATTTCAATGCATTAGAACTTAACAAGCACGTAAGGTTAGTTCACATTGTTCATTTGAAAGCAAGACATCCTTCACAATGCAGAAGTTTTAAAGTGAGGACAGCTGACTAAACTACTTTTGTAAAAATCCAGTAATCTGTTATACTTTGAGACCTGTAACTGAAGACGGTAGGTCTATAAAGATATATATGAAATAGGAACTGTATGCAAGTTTCATTTTTCTGAAAAAATACCTACTGAACATGGCAGGAACAAAACCTTAAAAAAATCTGGTTCTTATACCGCACCTTTTAGGCTCTGCATAATGTTCAGTTTTTTTAAGCATCTGTTATAGAGATTAAAATTTTCTTACAGGATTCAACAGAACTTTAATTTTTTATATCGTATTTGGAATAAGTTTACTGTGTCAGTCTCCGAATTAAGTTATGAAATACCAGCAAGAGAAATACAACACTGGTCACTTTCAAAGAAGAAACGCTGCATCACTCTAGAAACATTATTAAAAATCTAGTTCCAATGTGCCTCCTAGCTAGATACCACTATCCTCACCTAGAAGGGGAAACCAAAATAGAATATATCTGGTTTTCTGCCATGCAAGCAGTAGTACTGCAGCACAGATAACCTCAGGCCAAGGACAGGAGCAACAAAGATGACAACCTCTTAAGCTGGAACAACAATGCATATATCAGAAATCGCAGTGTACGAATTTTTGATAGAAAACATAATATTTTGACCACACGACATAGTAAGAACTCCCCATGTACTGTGCATCTACCCACAGCTTCCAGATCCCCCACAAGGAAAGCATTTTATTACTCAATGTGTTCCTGCATTCCACTGTGTTGTCAGAACCAAACCACTGGACTAATTTTAATTTTGACTTTTACTTTAATTCCAGAAGACTTTTGTATTTGGGTGACTGCCTGCTGGAGTGAAGAAGGGCTATGGATATGCACGTCTATAAATATCCCAGGCCTGCGTTAGTCACAAGGGGCAGCTTCTGCTACAGGAATTGTTCTGCTGAATCAAAAAAAACTGCTGTGCCTTCAGCTGCAATGCCGGATCCTCCACCTCACTTGAACTTGGAACAGCAGCAGCAGATCAGTCACTCCCAGATCCTTACAATTTAGCAAGCATCACTGCATATCTAACTAATCTAGTACGGGAAATGTTTCAAACGTACAACAATTCCTTACACAGAATTAAAAGGAGACAAAGAAAAACCTGTCTGAGTTGTTGGGCAACAAACTATCAGACTTGTCAGCAAAACCAAACAATGGTGGCAAGACTACATTGCACTATAGCTATGTAAAAATAACGTGGAAATAATTTGCTATTTTTGTGGTAAAACATCATTTCACAATTTAACACCCCTATACCACAGCTTACACAAAAATCAGGTCTTCTGAACTGTTAGTGTACCAGTTTGACCTTCGTTAGTGGAATGTTATTAATGCTCATCAGTACAACCCAGGCAATTTATTCCCTTTAATTTATTACTTTAGGTCTTTTCAACCAAGAAACATTGCATTGCTCTCCTTATACTTAAATTTCTTTTTAGACTTTTTACTTGGCTTAAATTGGAACTTACCTATTACTAACGTAAAAACTTCTATCGCTCCCAAATAAATGCTGGTCTGCTCTTCAGCTTTAACACAAGCATTCCCAAGACAGGCCACCAACTAGTCCTTCTCTGCTCATTCCAGAAATACTGTTTGTGGCTTTGTGGCAGTCCTAGATTAAGCAAGCCATCTACAAAACCGCTCTCAGGTGGGGAAAAACTCAGTAAGAAACAGGGAGTGGGTCTCCTCCCAGGAGATCACATCATAAAACATGGAGTGGAGATAAAAATCCAGATCTTGCCATTGTCATTCCTGTGTCAAGGGAACACTCTCTGTTCAGCGATACATTATGTCATCATCTATCAGAGAAATAGAAGGAAGCCAACCTTTCTAGTACAGAGAATTTAAACAGCGTATTAGAATGAACTTTCTCCAATCAGAGCCTAGAAGAAAGGAAAAAATGTGCTAGGGGACAAGACCTTTCTCTTCCCAACTGCCTTGTTTCTCAAAAATGTAAGATTAACACAAGGGGCAATACAATATCCAAACACTAAGCATCTTCTACTTTGAATATAGTCTAATAATGTCATCTTAAACAACAGAAATACGAAGTAAATTTCAACATTTGAATTTCCCATTAAATAACGGCCTCAAAATCTAAAAAAAATAGGAGGCTAATATGGTTTTCATCTTTTTCCTCAAATGAAGGACAGACCTACATGGTGCACAAGGTATTTCTGTATCAATACTGCATTCTCTTGGTTTCTGTGGTTCAAATCTTAGAGCTGCTTAGTAAGAAAACAAAGGATGAACCTGCCCCTTACTTCTGCTTGTAAACAGGATCCATCCAGCTCCAGGATCTAAAACAGAGAAAAGACTAATGGAAGAGAAAATATCCGATTTTGGCCACATGAAAAAAATCCTATGAGACGTTAACAAGGAAGTGGCAGTGCTACCCTGTTCCCCATGACTATTCCGAATTTGCAGAAGATGCTCTGAAGTACAGCACCTAGGAGTGCACACACTGTCCATGCTTGTGGCAGTGTAGCCTCACGTCCTTCTACTACGAGCCCTCAGATGATAGATCACAAATCCTTTACATTTACCTGAGTTCCTTTCTCTTTCAAGGATCAAAATAAATGCTTCATTAACTTTTCAATACAAAGTACCAGTTTCCAAGAGAAGATTCATATGCAGCTTACATGGAAAACTCTGCATCGTAACAGCAGTGATAGCTGATACGACGCATGTCTCACTGATCCAGCAGCATTCTTTTGAAAGGAACGTGTCCAGCATATTTTAAAACAAGATAATTTTGGTGTTCATCCAAACTTTATTGAATATTGTAAACCAAACCCACGTCCTTCCCATACAAAGCACAGCTACATGATTGCTAGGGGTAAAATACCAACCTAGAGAGGTACCTTTTATGCCAAAGCAATGGAAGTAGCAGCAGAGGGGTTTTGGGGGTGGTGGGTTTGTTTGTTTGTTTCTTTCCCCCAAACTTGAATTACTAAGCAAATCAACTTTATACCCTAGTAACAAAGCAATGAATCAGCAGCTGCAATTAAGCTTACAGTCATGTATCCTAGGAAGGAAACAGCAGGCCAGCACGAGGAAGAGTCATTCATACACTAAAACCCTCTTCTGTTGTGTAAATTGGCCACTGGCAGCAGCTTCCTGTACAAGAAGGGCTTCCCCAGATGTGCATCGTATTTCAGAACCTCACTGCTGTTGAAAGTCCTTATTATAATGGCTGCTAATCAGATCAAATCCACATCCAAAGCCATTTAAAAGAAACAACACCAATGAATCAAAGGCATCTTTCTTTTAGAAGATCAATATGAAGACTTGTGGTGGCAGTTTAAGCAACAGGATTTGACATGCTAAAGAGCTCTGTGTGTAACAAAAATACATATTATCAATGGATAGAGCCCCATATGCAAAAAGCCTTAGAGCCCAGGCAGGAAATAAATAGAAATCCCACCAAGTCTTTAGATTATAAAGTATGAGTTTAAGTAATTTTTGTTCTGACACAAGTTTACATTCAAGATCAGTCTACTAACACTAAACAACAGTTACCTGGAAAGTTTTACAGAATCACTGTCAGGAAGGCACAAGGTTTCCTCTCTTCCTCAAAGACTCTTCTTTAACAACCATCTGAAGTGCTCTAACTGTCACAAGTACCTTAGTCTTCAGAAAAGTCAGTATGTCCTAGGTTTTCATATATATATTAGCAAGAATAGAAAACAGCTCAGCTAAATAACATTTTCAGTTCGTCTTGTAAATACTACAAACTGCACACATGCTGTCTAGTACTAATTACATTAAAGCTGACATCAATGTGCCTGATGTTTCGCTATTTCACATCATGTTTGGTCATACCCAAATATACAGTAAGCTCTATCATGAGTCCATTTTAAAAACTGCAACTAAATGAAGTCCAAGACAGCAGAGGATCACATCCTCCTTCGCTTCTAACCTGATCAAACACAAATACCGTCTTAAAAATATGATTTCATCTATATGGTAACCTGGAAATGCCTCAGGTTAACCCAGTATCCCGTTTTAAAGACACTCAGAACAGTACTGTATCATTTTCATACAGGTCACCATTTAGCAATACCTGGTTTTAAGAAAGACAAGCATTAAGGCAGGCAACATTTAGAAGGTTATCCTACTAACCTACATTACTGACAGGTTAGCACACAGCAGTGTATTTGAAGTGCTCAGAATACATTAAGCAATAGCTATCTTGATATACAAACAGGGCTGTATAAATATATCCTGACAACGAGAAATGCTAGAGAAGCCAGAGAATCATTAAGAGTTTGAGCTAAGCCAATTTTTAATGAGCGGAGTAGGATTCCCACAGTGTTCACACCCACTAGAGTGGCAAAGAAGCAGCTGCCTTTCCACTGAAATTGTTTCCAATATGTACCAGAATTAATAGACACGTTATTTGTCTTAAAGATTCCCCCACAGTAACAAACATATCCTTATCAAGTGACTCCACTAAGCCCCGACAGCCTAAACTGAAGACATAAGCAAGCAAACAAAAAATCCAAAGCCACCGCAGTATTAATGCTCCCCTAAGTTTCTGCGGGGACGTTTTAGGTGAGTTAGCCAGAAATATAACTCACAGAACACTACTCTGAATTACTGTAGCCATCACAGAAGGCCACCCCCTATTCCGACCTCTACAGGCAGCAGTTTTTATGTCCTCTTCCAACCCTCAAAGGTGACGACAGAGAAAATAAAACAGCACCCATCAGCTGCGAAGTCGTACTAGAGCAGACACGAGTCCTCCACAAAGCAACACCAACCTCGCCCTCCCGCCACCGGCCATCGCACCCGCCGAGAGCGCTTGTTTTCCTTCCTGCACCCAGTGCCAGCTCCCGGGGAGAGGTCCCGGTGCCAGCCGGGCACCAGCACGCCGCCCGC